AAAGGGAGTTTTTCCTCTCCACTGTCGCTACAAGCATGCTTAGTGTGAGGGATTGCTGAAGAATCAATGATTCGATGCAATCACTTGGTTTTCCTTAGATAGAAAACTTTGAATCAATCTGACTGGATGATCTGGTGAACTGTAAGGTGACCTGAGATGACATGATGTGAATTGGCGCTATAGAAATAAACGGAATAGAATTGAGACTAAAGTGGCTGGTATGTTTTGGGTAAAAAAAAAAACGAAAAAGCATCAAGCTGAAAAATAGTTTGTTCTTTGTATTTTAAAGCTATTTTTTAGTGACAGGATAGAATAATTCATGAAATAAAATTATCAAACTCAACTTATTGTACTGATGGTTCTGAAACTGTTCCCCATGAGCAGAAGATGGATCCATTCCAATACAGCTGAGAAACTTCACATAAACTCTCTTCTTTATTTTTATTTTCTTTCATCCATATTTACTTTGTGGTGAACCTTTCCGTTTGCCTATAGAGGAAGGAGGGCTCTCCATTCAGCTGCAAGTTCAAACTTTTTTATTTTCCAGAGCAGACTTTGGTTTCTTTCAGCCCCCTTCTATCCTCTCTTCCTCTGTCCCCATCCTTGTCTTCTGTTTCCTTGGCCCCTCTGTCCCACCTCTTTATTTGCTTTCCCATTGTTTTGGTCTTTATTTCCCCCCATTAGCTATCAGCTAAGCTGTGCATTATAAGTGTGAGAAGCGCAGCTCGGGCTCGTTGTGTGAAAGAAATGGAGCCGGCGTGACCTCGAACTGTGGGCGGTGCAGCGCTTCAGTCTGGCGGCTTCTTCAGGCAGAGCGGAGGGAGGACAGCGCGCGCACACACTCTCTATATCACACACACACACACACACACACACACGCAGCCAAACAAGGAGCCGTAGTAGGATGAGCATGGAGGAGCAGTGAGGAGCTGGGACGGACCGGGACCTGTTCCCCACTTCATCTGAATTACTTCTCCGAGCTACGCGCGCGCTTCCCGCAACATGGAGACTAAAGGCTGCGGGCTGCTTCTGGCTGCGCACTTTATCCTCATCTGCCACCAAGGTAAGAAAAGCTGCGGGGTGTTTGTTCCGCTCTAGGCTGCGGTGTTTACAGCTGTAGGTTACTTTAGGAGAAAACCAGCTGGCCAACTGTGCGCAGCAGCTCCAGGCGCGCAGCTTGGAGAGACGCAGCTTGGAGAGATCTCTGGGTTCAAGTTTGGCCACATTGACCGGAGTCAGTCGTTGTTGCTGAGGCTCTGTCCGCCTCTCTGTGGGTTCTGGGATGTGTCCCGTGTTTTAGGAGACTCGCTGCGATGCTTCAGTTAGATGAGAAATGAAAACATTGAGGAGCAGAAGGTCTCCTATCAGCTCCGAAGCGAAGCTGTCAAGCCTGAAGGAGTGCTTTGGTTCAGTAAGACTGTCAGATGCTCCTAATCTGTCTGAACCAACAGCCATAATCCCTCAGTGCTTCACAGAAACACCTACTCTCACTGCGCATGAAGGGGCTTCCTTCTGCAGGTCAAAGGTCAAAAGGTTTCTATAAAATGAAGAAATCAGGCTGATTTACTTTAATTACTTCACTTTCATCTGCTCAATGCAGCAGTGGGTTGCACTGCTGCCCTGCAGACGAAAGGTTTTAGGTTCGATTCCCGGCCTGGGGTTTTTCTGCATGGAGTTTGCATGTTCAACCTGAGCATGCGTGGTTCTCTCCAGGTACTCCTGCTTCCTCCCACAGTCCAAAAACATGAATGTCAGTTTAATTGGCTTCTCTAAATTATCCTTAGGTGTGAGTGTGTGCGTGAATGGTTGTTTGTCTGTGTTGCCCTGCGATGGACTGGCGACCTGTCCAGGGCGGACCCCGCCTCTTACACATAGACAGCTGGAGATAGGCACCAGCACCCCTCGTCACCCCAGCAGGTATAAAGCGCGACGGAAATTACTCCACTTTCATCTGAGGATCAGTTCAATTTAAATATTTCACTCTGCTTGAAATGTTAAAAGATAACACAACAGCTGATTGTTGGAGTTTACCTTCAGTTTCACAGACTCTGAAAATGAAAACTTAAGGGGAAATTTTTAAAGAGGTTCCTGTTCAGACTGAAGCTGCAACAGTTATGCTACGTTAACACCTGAAGCAGCAGAAGCAGCAGGTTTAAATGCAAAGTCAATGGTTGACGCGCATCAAGGCGCAGCAAAAGGTCCCGCAACATATTTAGAGCAAGAGGAGCAGCAACTCATGTGCTTCTGAGGCGTTTCAGAAGCAGCTGGAGTTGAAAACTTGAACTTTAGCTGCTGGACCAATCAGAGAAGCTGATCTGGGAGCTGGCAGGGAGTCAGACACAGCACTGCTGAT